TGCCCCCGTCCGGGAGGATCCCACATGCCGCGGAGCGGCTGGGCCCGTGGGCCATGGCCTCTGAGCCTGCGCGTCCGGAGCCTGTGCTCCGCAACGGGAGAGGCCACAAGAGTGAGAGGCCCGCGTACCGCAAAAAAAAGGGCCTGCTGTGGGTCAGAGATCTGGCACAAAAGGGAGCAGCCAAAACAACCAGGAGTTATTCTGCCAGCGCTTCCAACATTTCTGCTACAAGGAGACTCCTGGGCCCCATGAGGCCTTGAGCCAGCTCTGGCTGTTCTGCTGTGAGTGGTTAAGGCCTGAGATACACACCAAGGAGCAGATGTTGGACTTGCTGGTGCTGGAGCAGTTCCTGACCATCCTGCCTGAGGAGCTCCAGGACTGGGTACAGGAGCCTCAACCAGAGAGTGGGGAGGAGGTGGTAGCTATGCTGGAAGATCTGGAGAGGGAGCTGGATGAATCAAGCCGACAGGTAGGAAAGGGCCCTATGCTCAGCGGAGGGATAGTTGGGAGTGAGCTTCCAAGCTGGTCCTTTGTGGGGTCTCTGGGTATCATTTACTCTGTTGGCCCTTCAGATGCCTAGATGAGCTTGCTTGTCCTCAGGTTTCAACCCAGGCCTGTGCACAGGAAGTGCTTTTCTGAGACATCGGTACCTCTGGATCCAGCTAAGAAAGCAACATATCTCCAGCCTCAACCCATGGGGATCCAGCTTAAGGGTGAATCTCAGGACGCTCTACAGCAACAGGATTGTGGTTAGTATTGACACTTAGGTCATATGGCTCGCCTGGAGACCTTAGAATCATTCATCATTCAGCAGATGTATATTGAGTACTTATTATATGCCAGGCACTGTGCAAGGCACTAGGTGTAATAAGCAAAGTGGACATGATCTTTGTTTTCATGGAGCTTATAATAATCTGACGACAGAGGCATTAAACAAACAACCACACAAATAAATATGCCATGATAGATTGTACGTGGGGGGAGAGGGATGACAGAGAAGGTGTCTTTGAGGAAATAACATGGTAACTGAATCCTAAAAGTAGAGTAGGAATTAACCAAGTGAATAATAGAGGGGAAAGCATTCCAGGCCAAAAGACATGTGCAAAAACAAGTGTGAAAGAAATTGGTGGGTTTGAAAGACGGCCAGTGTGACTGGAACGTGGAGAGACAGGCAGAGTAGCAGAGAGAAGATGGTCAGGAACCAGAAAATGGGGGCTTTGTGGGTCCTGTTAAGAAGTCAGTAAATCTTTACCTTTCACTGTGTGTAAGCCTAGCTCTGGGTTCTCTGAGGATCCCTGCCCTAAAGGGGTTGAGTATCCATAAAAAGATAGCTGTTGATTTGAGACAGTGAATGATTATGTGCCAAATTGGAGGTCATGGTTCTTAGGAGAAGAAATCTACTTCTTCAGGCCCTGGTGGTAGCAGAATGGCTGGGATTTGAACTGGGTCATAAAAAAAACGGGTAGCATTTCACTGGGCAGAGAACATCAGGAAGGCTGTTGCTCATACTTCCTCCTCTTCTAGCTCTCTCTGTCCTGCTACCCTGTTCTTCAGTTCTTCAGGGGAGATTTCTAGTTATTTAGCCCATTTTTTTCCTCCCAGTGCCCTTTCCTTCCCTGTCCTATCAGACCCATGACATATTTGGGTTTTGCTAATATGCTCAACATTCTCCCAGCCACCCTCACTGCACTGCCACACACATCACCACCCTGTTGGATTCATAAAACACCACCTGTGACCATACCTTCTCCACTCGCCTGCCACACCAACTCAGAGCTATTCTTCAAGACTCACCTCAGCTGTCGCCTCCTTCATGAAGGCTTTCTTGATACTTTCCTACATGTTTGAGTTATGTGATACCTCTTGTGCATACCTGTCACAGCAGTTAGCATATTGTATTTCCACTTCACTTGTCTGAAGCTCCTTCCATTGATTACAGTTCATCATTCTTAGGAACCAGTTTCTTTTTTAAATGTGAAATGGACATTTTCTTTAATACTAAGATGTTAGTTAAGTTTTCTGACATGTTTTATCAATTTCTGAGGCACCATTCTTGTATGTCAGCACCTTTCCTCTGGATTCACTCTTGTTGAAGTTCATCCTTTAATAATCATTTTATTGAGTCATTTGTTGAGACGTGGATGGATCTAGAGACTGTCATACAGAGTGAAGTAAGTCAGAAAAAGAAAAACAAATATTGTATATTAACGCATGTATGTGGAACTTAGAAAAATGGTACAGATGAACCGGTTTGCAGGGCAAAAATAGAGACGCAGATGTAGAGAACAAACGTATGGACACCAAGGGGGGAAAGCCGTGATGGGGGTGTGTGTGTGATGAATTGGGAGATTGGGATTGACATGTATACACTGATGTGTATAAAATGGATGACTAATAAGAACCTGCTGTATAAAAAATAAAATAAAATAAAATTCAAAAATTAAAATAATTTTAGCAAAATTCTTTGGTAGTAGACTTAGTCTTTGCATGTCAGAAAATACCCTTATTTTGCCCTCCCTCCTTTTTAATCATGGTTTAGCTAGTGTAAAATTCTAATTGACAATTTCTTTTCCTCAGCATTTTGAAGATACTACTTCACTGTCTTCTAGCTTCTATTTGCTATTAAAAGGTTACTATCAGTCTTACTGCCTTTTAAATTTTTTTAGGGATTCCATCTTTATCCATTAGTGGCTTTTAGATTTACTCTTAACCTTTATGATCTGAATTTTCATTAAAAAGTGTGTCCTGATAGGGTTTTATTTTTGTTTGTCTTGCTTCATCTGAAAATGCTCTTTTGCTCTAAGGTCTCACGTTTTTCTTCAATTCTCGGAAAATTCTCAGCTACTAATTCTTTAAATTGTGCTGCTTTTAAAATTCCTTATATTATTTTCTTCTGGAGCTCCCAGAATACACTGATTAGAACCTACTTATCAATCTATTCATTTAGCCACTTTTTCACATATTTTATGTCTTTGTCTCTCTGTGGTACATCCAAGTGGATTCCTCTTCTGTTATCTTTGAGTTTATTCTGTCTCTAGTTTATTCACTTCTAAAATTTCTATTCAGTTTTTATACCACATATCTTTGTTTCATTTTTGCTTATTTTATTTCATAATTCCATGCTTATTTACCATGGATGGTATGTCATCATTTATCTCTTTTAGGTATCTTTATTCTACTAATTTTTCAGGATTTTTGATGAAAATAACTTCATCTGGATTGAATTCATGTTCCAATTGACTTTGTGAACCATCTTTCTTAGTGTTCCATTCATTCTGAAATTTTCATATCTAGGCTCACTTTGAGTTCTTTCTAATCTGTTTAACATCGTCTGCTTCCATGTTTAGCTATTCTGTTGTTACTGTTACCTGGCCCCCTGGAAGCAGGTTTTAGGGCTCCTGTTTCATGTCATACACAAATATCACCAGTGTAGTCACAGGCTTCCAGGTGGCTTGACATGTTTCTTGGTCAGAGTTGTGTCTTTCTCTGTATGTGTCTGTGTGCTTGTGTATGTGTGTACCTGCGTGTCCCACCCAGCCTCTGGCATCAAGCAGTGAGCTGGTGCTACTCCTTTCAGGAAGTAATTTTAGGTCCCCATTTTCCTCTGGGACTAAGATTTCAGTCACTCTCTGGGGCCCAGCAGACCCACAGCTTCAACTGTAGCCACCATTGTGTATTTTTGTTTCCATTCTGGTCCGCAGAGATGTTTATCTTACTTTTTAGCACAGATGGGTTTTTAGATTTATTTTTATTTTTTACTCAGTGTATTTAGAGCTGAAGTGCGAACTCATGGCGCCATCCTGCCTAGAAGTATACCATTTTAAAATTTATTTGTTTATTTATTTTAGGCTGTCTTGGGTCTTCGTTTCTGTGCGAGGACTTTCTCCAGTTGCGGCAAGCGGGGACCACTCTTCATCGCGGTGCGCGGGCCTCTCACTGTCGCGGCCTCTCTTGTTGAGGAGCACAGGCTCCAGACGCGCAGGCTCAGTAGTTGTGGCTCACGGGCCTAGTTGCTCCGCGGCATGTGGGATCTTCCCAGACCAGGGCTCGAACCCGTGTCCCCTGCATTAGCAGGCAGATTATCAACCACTGCGCCAACAGGGAAGCCCCCAACCTTTTTTAGACAGTTAGAAATTGAGTTTCTATGCTGTACTTTTTTATATTAATCCATAAATTTTTTTCTCATGCTGATACGGATTTTAGTTCTATTATATGTGCAATGCTGCTTTGTAACCCATCTGCAGTAGCCATTTTTTATTTGCTAATGGCTCTAAAAGACTATGTTCTTGCATAAATGCATCTCTTTGTGTAATTTGCCTTTAAATTCTACACAGATATATCTAAGGTAACTGTAACATAAATTGAAGTTTTAAAGCACCTAAATACTTTAAGATAACCTTATATAAACCACTAACAATGAGGGTTTTTTACCATAGTGGCAAGCTGGTTTGGTGAGGAAATTATTGCAGGTTCCTGTCCTAAAAGGAGACCCCGAGGAAAGGCTTCTCTCACTCTTGGCAACATTCTTTCTCAGCTCTGCCTTATCTCTGGGTTTCTGCCCTTCACAGAATGGGAGCTCCAGGACCCAGAAGTGGCTGTCACTTTTCTCAGGCAGACTGCCAGTGAGCTTCTTCCCTCATCCACACTCTCAGAGATCTGGAATGTGCTGTTTGACCATGGCTCCTTCTCACCCCTCATCCCAGAGTCTCTTTAGGCAACGCATTTTGGCACAGTCAGCCCAGTGCTTCTGCTTAGAGTTAGGTCTGACTTGTACTACATCCTAGATCTTCAACTGGCTCCATAGTAGTCTTTCCCTTTTTTCTCCCATTTAATATCTTTTATAATACAAAGCAAACCACTTTTCCCTGCATTATTTCTACATGGTTATAAATTCTGCCCTTTACCCTGGGTCCTAAAAATGTGATTACTTCAGGGAGAACATGGCTTGAATGGGACAATCTCACTTTTTTTCAGAAACTGTTTATCATTGATGAAGTGGCCACATCTCCCACCCTGGAAGAGTGGGGAGTGTCGGGACTCTACTCAAAGGAACCTCTGTAGGAAAGAAAGGCAGAGGAATTATGGAATCATGCTTTCCTTGGATGAGGTCAGATGGGAGTCTAGGGTCTGCTAAAGAACCTTCTCTGTGCTAGTACTGGTTTCCTGGGAAATCTCGAATGACCCACAGAATGTAGCTTCAGGTTTGACAGATTTCCAGTGTTCTTTGCAAGAAGAGTAGTAATGTCTCTGGGAGCTAAAGCAATTTCTGTCTGTCCCCACATAAGAACATCCTCTTTTACCCCATGTGTCTAGACTCTAATCTCTTTGTCCTGCCTGTTTACAAATGTGATACTTCTCTGTGGCTGATCCCAGAGGCCTTCAGAGCAACCTGCACAGAACTGTTTCATGACTCCAACTTGGTACCTGCCACTGTCAGCTTCCTCTTTCATTTTGTTCCTCCCACAGTTTCTGTTCTTTCATCCCTCTCTACTCAACTTTTGGCCTTCCTGGTGAACCCATTCTTATCTTAGGTCTTCTTCTGTTGTTTATGATGCTTGTCCATTGGACCATTCTTAATCCTCCCTGATGTTTCTCCACTCTTTTCTCGAATCACCCCCTCCCAGTCCAGCCACTGTTAGTCCTAAGTCCTCTCTTCCTTTGCCATCTCCCAATTTCCTCCTCAAACGTTGTAAAACCATTTTGTTGGTATATTGAAGCTGTGTACTTCTAGTATAAGTGTTTCATTTTATTTCCTGTATATTTCAGTGACATTTGAATACTGTATTTTTTATTTCGGATGATGTGATACGAATTGAGAAAGAAGAATTGGTTCAAAAGCAGGAGCTTACTGTAGATATGGAATCCCAAGAAAAGTTATCAGACCAAATCAATGGAGAGGCTCTTGAATGTGGAGAAACCCAAGAACATGAAGGATGGACAGAAAGATATCAGAGAAACACTTCAAATGACAGAAGATATAAATGTGATGAATGTGGAAAAAGATTCACTCAAAACTCAAGCCTCATTAGACATAAAAGAATCCACACTGGAGAGAGACCCTGTTCATGTAATGTATGTGGCAAAACTTTCATTCAGAGCTCACAACTTACTGACCATCAGAGAATACATAGCCAATTAAAACCGTATCAGTGTGATGAGTGTGGAAAAGCCTTTTATTACAGTTCACACCTTGTTCAGCATCAAAGGACCCACACTGGAGAAAAACCTTTCCAATGTAATGAGTGTGAAAGCTTTTCATTACAGCTCAGGCCTTATTCAACACCAAAGGACCCACACAGGAGAGAAACCATACCAGTGTAATGACTGCGGGAAAGCTTTCTCTCTGAGCTCACATCTGATACAACATCAGAGAGCCCATACTGGAGAGAAGCCATACCAGTGTAGTGAGTGTGGGAAAAGCTTCAGTCAGAGTTCAGGCCTCTTCCGTCACCAGAGAATCCACAGTGGGGAGAAACCATATGAATGGATGAGTGTGGAAAGGCTTTCAGTCATAGTTCAGCTCTTATTGGGCACCAGCGAATCCACAGTGAAGAGAGGCCCTATGAGTGTGATGTGTGTGGGAAAGCTTTCAGCTATAGCTCACATCTTCTGGGACACCGAAGAATCCACACTGGAGAGAAGGGCTATGAATGCGATGTGTGTGGAAAAGCTTTCCGGCAGAGCTCACACTTCATTGTACATCAGCGAATCCACACTGGAGAGAAGCCCTGGCGATGTCAAGAGTGATGTAGAATTTTCCGTCTATGCCCATTCCTGTGGGACATCATCAGAAAAGCACAGCTAGATGTAGGGAACTCTGTGATCACTATTGCAATTTCAGCAGTCATTTGAAAATACTTATAGAGGCTGAAATAGGCAGACACCTGACAGCTTACCAAGCAAGACATTGTGATGTTCTGCCACTAAGCACATCATGTGATGAACTGGGACTTTGGAAGGGCTCATTCCATATTCTCAAACTTTTCTTCTCTGAAGCAAGTGGCTCAGGCAATCTAAATGGTCTGTTAGACAAATAACAAGATTTTAGAGATTACTACTGTTTCTTTTCCCTTTCCCTTTTTATTCTCCCGTTTTCTTTGGAGTTGGAATAATAATCTTGTCTAAAGTGTAAATTTAGGATTAACATCTGATCTGCATTTTTTTAAAAACCATGATTTTTTGGTTAACTTGATAAAATACATTAACCAATCAATTACATACACTAAAACATTGTGCAATACAAAAGCCATTTTGTAATATTGGAATGAACTATGATTTGCACGGGTAGGATGGGTTAGTGGCAGTAGAGCAAGAAGATTTACCATGCAATTTCCCAGTGACCTTTCACATCTTAAACCAGAGAGAGCAAACAGGCCAATGGGCTGTAGTTGGCCTGCACATGCATTTTTCTCACAAAGTATTTTTGGTGATATGAAATTATTGCAACTACTTAAGTTCACATAAAGTCTGACTTTCCAGATTCTCTTACAAAAATGCATGATGTGGCAACAGTGGGCACCACATTCCCATGTGGGAACAACTGACTGGAGCTGATTATCACTGTTGTCTAGTTGGACATGGTCCCCACTGCCACACAGATTCCTACCGTCTTATATCCCGCCCTTAATTCATTTTGTCTGTGTGAACCCTGCCCCTGCCCTAAGGGTTTCTCAGAGAGGCTTCAGGGCTCTAGGTCCCTCACCACTGAAACAGCTTCATTTTAATTCGTTTTAAATATTGGCCTCTAAATAAGATTTCTCTGAAGAAAGGGTTTTCTGCTAGCAACAGTTTGAAGATTTAGATTAAATAATAAATTCTAAAATGTAACTTTTGAGCACCTGAAGGTAGAGGAAAGCCACTTTAAAATTTTCTTTAGATAGAATTTATAGGTAATCTATTGAAAGTCAATTATAATAGCTTCTAACCAAATTCTTAGAGACCAGTTAATCAGGTGAGATGAAAAACATAAAAACGCATGAAGGGAGTCAACATTAAGTGAAAAATTGAAAAAACGCAAGGCCAAAAGCAGAGACCATTTGGGAAAGAGAACCATTGAAATGTGAAACATTCAGTAATAGGAGCAGTTGTGGGAAAGCAGTGGGATGAGGCCTTAATGGGAGAGTAGGCAGAAGTGAAAAGAAAAAGCAGCTAAGAAATGGAAAGATGGGGATAAACTCTACGAGAGGAAGAAAGTGAAGCGAGGGAGAAAAGGGAAAGACCAGAGATGCCAGAAAAACAAACTTCAAAGAAATGGAAGCAAAATTAGTGAAAACATAATAAATGAAAAAGCAACCTTTAAAGAAACATGAAGGGGAGGTTGAGGGTTTGTAGAGGCTAGAGCCCATGTTTTGATCGTTAACCTCCCAGTGACTTCAGAGTAATAATCAACCCTTTATTTCTATGCCATGTAGGCCAAATCCCTCATATGAAAGATCCTAACCCAAACCTGAGTTCACTACTCTATGTGCCACTCAGGATCCCGGTCCTGCACGGGTCTCTGAGTGTTGAGACACAGGATGCCCCTCTTTACCACTCTAAGCCCCAACTTGTTGAACTCTGCTCAGCCTGAACTCTACCTTCTTAGCAAAACCAAACAAGCAGAAGGATTCTCCTGAGGAGCAATAATATATTCTTGGCCTCTCTCTGCGAGGCATGTGGCTTGCCTGTTCCACTAAAGAGGAAAAAGCATGATGTTGTGAGATAGTAATATCCATTATAAATTAAATAATGATATATGCAAAAGGAAAAGCCCTTTGCAAAGTATAACAGTAATAGCTACCGTCTGTTGAACCCGTGTCCCACACACTATACCAAGCACCTTATTGTCAATATATATCTCATGTAAACTTTCCATCTCTTCTATAAGCACTATTTATTATATCTCAATGTCTACATATAATTTATTCTTATGAAAAGCTTGTAATAAAATGAAAAGTTTTTATTATATTAAAATGTTAAATAGCCTGTTAAAGTGCTTTTAGAATAAAATCACACAACTATGTAAAACAGATTAAAAATATCAAAAATTGGAAGGGAATGACAACAAAATGTCAATAGTGACTGTATTTAGGTGATGAAAATGGAACAATTCTCTTCTTTTCTTTCTACTTGTCTTATATTCCAAATGGAAAATTTAGAATTTATCCTACACATGTAATAAATACTTTTAAAAAATTAAAATGCTACAGAATTTTCTGAGCCTTTCTGGAAATGATTCTTTGATAGTTTTTTCAATTATTTCCTTTAGGATTGGCTTTTTTACATTTTTCTACTTCTTAAATGAATTTCTGAACTAATGGTTTATTCCCAGAAAACGATCAATTTCATTAAGATTTTTAAAAATTTTGGTAGCATACTTACCTCATCTGCTATTATTTGTCATTGATAACTTAATTTTCTTCTCTCACTTGGATTTACCATAGGTTTGTTGTTTTTATGGGCTCATTTACAAAGATTTCATTCTTGGATTTATTTATTAACATGACTTTTTCTATTTTTAATTCGTTTACTTTTATTTTTCTTTTCTAACCTTTTCCTTGGGAATTTCTCATTCTTTTTCTGATTTCTTTTTTTTTTTTTTTTTTTGCGGTACGCGGGCCTCTCACTGCCGTGGCCTCTCCCGTTGTGGAGCACAGGCTCCGGACGCGCAGGCTCAGCGGCCGTGGCTCACGGGCCCAGCCGCTCCGCGGCATGCGGGATCTTCCCGGACCGGGGCACGAACCCGTGTCCCCTACATCGGCAGGAGGACTCTCAACCACTGCGCCACCAGGGAAGCCCTCTTTTTCTGATTTCTTGAGTTGAATTCTTAGTTCATTTATTTTCTCTCTGTTGAAATAATGAAAGCAAGTGAGTATATACACCTACCAAGTGCTGTTATTTTTTTTAAATTGTCCACTAGTGTTTTTTTCTGGGTTTTTGTTTTGCTTTGCTTTGTTTCTTGGTAGTTTTGGAAGATATAACTAGAGGGGGAGAAGGGAGGACTCTCCTTGTCATACATAGACTGTCTGCTTATGCCTTAGTAAAGAGGTCAGAGAGGCTTTATCCAAGTAGAGGAAGGACATACCTAAGCCAAGGGCAGAGACAGGATTTTAACAGGATCTGTGACAGTGGTTGGAAGCCTCATTTTGTCTGGTGTTCAACCACTCAAGTTACCACAGCTGGTGCTCCAAGGCGCTGGTGTGTTGATTCTCTGAAGTTGACGAGTGACTGAAGCCAGGGGTACCTGAAGAATACTCTGGGCTACTCAGTATGTTCACGGTCTCTAGCAAGGTTTGTGTTTGAAAACCTGATAAGAGAATTTGATACAACAAAGCACTAAATAAGGAGGGAGAAACATGCTAATAGTGCACCGTGCACTAAAGGGGGAACAGGAAATAGTTAAGCATTTTCTAGATGTTTTACTTGCTCAGTTGGCTATGAGGGACATATGCCAGTCAAGGGAAAGGGCTTTGGCTTTCCATCATGTAATTCTAGTGAAAGAAGAACAGGGGTTATCCTTTGTCTAAATGTTTCTCCCCAGAGAGGAGAGTTTTCTAAAGCTTACATGAAAGTCACTCATTTCTACGCTTTCTAAATGTTCCACCCATATTTACTTGATTACTTATATTTGCCTGAAGCACAGGGAAGTTAGATCTGATTTTCATCTTAAAGGAGTTATACTCTTTTACAGGATGACTTGTCAGGCAAAGAATTTCAGAGAGAGAAAAGAGATATTGATGGCATTCTCCAAACAGGAAAATTGTTTGTAAGTTGTGAAGAATAAATAGGGTTTAAAAGCAATTATCTTTTTCTATTTACACCAGTATTAAGTTTTTATAAAAATTAAACCTTAACAGAAATATATAATGTATAAAATGCAAGTTCTCTGTAAGTTTACCCCAAGTGATAATCACTGAGAACACATTTAAGATGATTATTTTACAAAAATGATCATATCATACTGTTTTGTAACTTACTTTTTTTACTCAGTATGTCTTTGGCATCTTATAGTTTTTAGTTTTAAAAATGACGAGGGTATAAGGGCTTCCCTGGTGGCACAGTGGTTAAGAATCTGCCTGCCAATGCAGGAGATGTGGGTTCGAGCCCTGATCCAGGAAAATCCCACAGGCCGCGAGACAGCTAAGCCCGTGTGCCACAACTACTGAGCCTGCGCTCTAGAGCCCATAAGCCACAACTACTGAAGCCCACATGCCTAGAGCCTGTGCTCCCAACAAGAGAATCCACCACAGTGAGAAGCCTGCACACCAGAACGAAGAGTAGCCCCGGCTCACCGCAAGCAGAGAATAAGCCCACGTGCAGCAACGAAGACCCAACGCAGCCAAATAAATAAAATAAAAATTTTTGAAAAGTGATCGGTATATAGAAATTTAAATTCCCAAATGCTGGATATTCAAGTTTCCCCATTTAAATAAAAAATGTCTCTTTGTACACATTTTCAAACATTTGTATAAGTATTTTATATGGATAATTCAAAGAAGCTAAGTTGCTGGATCAAGGAGTACAGACATATTAATTTTAAGATGTCTTCCAAAAATATACAACTAACAGTGCCTCTATTTCCACACACTTTTTAATATTGAATATTATTGATTTTTTGTCTTTAGTAATGGAAAAGATTTTTTAAATCTCATTATTGTTTTAATGTAAATTCTTTAAGTAGTAAATTTGAATAATTTTTAACAGTCATTTTTGTCTATCAATATTTGTGTTCTATAAATGCCGACTTAGGTCCTTTGCCAATTTTTCTACTGGCCTGTTCACGTTTTACTTTTCTTTTTTTTTTTCAAGAGATCTTTGCTTATTAGGAAAATCAGCCCTGTGTCTTTGAGATGTGTGGTGTATTTTACTCTGAGCTTATATTTTAGGTGGTTTTTTTTTTTCATTCAAAAATCCTAAACTTTTCCATCACCAGTTCCGTTTATCTTTCTCTTCATGGCTTTTCAGTTATGTCTTTAGGGTTTTTTATGTCACTCTTAGAAAGTCCCTCCCCACTCCAAGGTAGCAATAGCTTCACACTTACAAGTCTATTGTTAACACAGCAGCCAGAAAAATCTTTTCAATGCCTAAGTCTGATTAAGCTACTCCTCTGCTCAGAAATTCTGAACGGCTTTTCATCTTGGAGTACAAAACAATATCCTCGCACTCACACAAGACCCTCATCTCTCTCTCTCTCTACTCCCAACACCCTTTTGCTCCTTCAGCTCCAGATACATAAGTCTCCTTCCTATTCTTTGATTATTTCAAATACTCTCCATTCCAGGCCTCTGCATTTTCTATCCCTCTCCCAGAAACCCCTTTACCCCTAAGGGCCCACTCACTCATCTCCCTCAATCTTTGCTCAAGTCAATGTACTAGTGAGGTCCTCAATGACCACCCTATTAAAAGTACATTACTCCTGGGCTCCCCTGGTGGTGCGGTGGTTGCGAGTCCGCTTGCCGATGCAGGGAACACGGGTTCGTGCCCCGGTCCGAGAAGATCCAACATGCCGTGGCGTGGCTGGGCCTGTGAGCCATGGCCGAAAAATTGCATTACTCCTTCATTGTCATCCCAAACTCCGTATTTTCTTTATTTTCTCCTGAGCACTAACAACCACCATCTGATACACTATATATTTTTCTTGTTTGTTTATTGCCTGCTTCCCTACCCCCACCCTCCACACACACACACACTTAGAAGTTTTATGAAGGCACGGGCATTGTTCTACTTTAAACTAGTTCCAGCTTCTAGAACAGTGCCTGGCACAGAAGGTGAATAATCAATATTTGTGAAAGAAAGAGAAAGGAGAAAAAAAAACTAAGCTTTTCTTACCCATCAGCTTGGCAAAGTTCAAAATATTTCATAACATTGCGTTGGCAAGTATAAGTAAACATCGCAGATGTGTTCTATGCTCAGTAATTTGGCACTAAGAAAAGTACAAATGCCTCTACTCTGTGCTCTAGTAAATCTTTCTCTAGGAATATATACTATCCTTACACACAAGAAATTATGATGTTCAGAGTAATTTATTGCAGCATTGTTTGAAAAATAAAAGAATGGAAACAACCTACTTGACCATCAATAGTGTAATTATTAATAAATTATGGCGTAACTGAATACTATGTGATTATACTTTTTAAAAAAGAGCAAGATGGAAGAAGCCCTTTATGTACAATCTCCAAAATCAATTAGTAGGAGGGAAAAAAAAATCAAGTTGCAGAACTGTTACCATTTGTGTATGGGTGTGTGTATTTGGGGGTGAGGGTGAGGGAATCTAAACCTGCGTGATATACCTATGGAATGATACAGCATATGTCACGAAAAATGGTTGTCAAATCTAGATGCGGGGCCAGTTATCCTTTTCTTTTCTAATCTTTTTTATTGAAGTTTACTTAATTTACAGTATTGTGTTAGTTTCGAGTGTACAGCAGAGTTATACCTATATTCTTTTTAGATTCTTTTCCACTATAGTTTATAATTCTTTTTAAACACTGAACCATGTGAATGCATTACATACCCATATTACTTATTTAATAATTAAGCGGGGGAAGAAAATCTTGAGAGGGAAAAAGTTTTTTTTTAAGAGCAAAAAAAACAGCTTGCGGGCGCCTAAGTCCCACCAGTCCAATGTACAGGAACCGGGCCCTCCGCGGGCTAGAGCTGAGGGTGGGCAGCCCGGCGGACGCCACCGAGGCGAGGCTTCCTAGAGCGGCCCGGAAGTGCCCAGCTGACAGCGACCCAGCGCCGATTGGTCGGTTTGAGTCTGACCTTTGTTCAGGCCGCCCAAAAGACGCTAGCTGTCGCACCTGTACCTCTCGGCGCGAGGTGAGTCTCTCCCGGCTCCTGGGTGGAGGAGGGGCAGGGCATAGTCGTGGTCTGCAGCAACTGTCTCCCCACACCTCCCCCTCACAGGCTGTCCCTCCCTTCAGACATAGCTACGAGAGAGGACTTGGGCCGACATCCCGGGAGAACGGAGCGAAAGGGAACACTGGTTACGAGTTGCTCTGCGAGGGCATTCATCCTAACCCCCTTCCTGAGTTGGCGCATGTACCCCACAACCACTGCATCCTAGGGACCCGTACATCTCAGGTTGTGGAATGAAAGAGCCTTTTAACAACGCTGTTAATACTTAGCGTTTATTTAGTGCTTGCTCTCAGGCCAAGGACTTTGCATACTTATTTAATCTACACGTCGACCCTATGAGAAACACGAGAATTTTTACAGATGAAGAGCTAGTAGCTTGCTCTAAATTACACAACAGCCCAGATTTAAATGCATGCTCCTGCTTCAGTGTTCTTATTTACAGCCTCCTGTCAGACTGTTCTCTCTACTCAGTTCTGGTTGCTTCCCTTTATCAGTGTTTATGTTCACAGCAGCTTTTGTCATTTCTCTATGGTAACAGATTTTTCTCTGAGACAAGATTCTAAGAGATTCTCCTTGAATCATTTCCAATAGAGGATTAATCTCCTGAAAAACAGCCCAGAATGGCCACATCCCTGGAACCTGAGGAACAAAAAGGACTTTTAATAGTTAAGGCAGACCATTATGGGGGACAGGACTCCATCTCACAAAAGTACAGTCCTCACAGAAGGGAACTCTTCAGGCAGCACTTCAGGAAGCTCTGCTATCAGGATGCACCTGGACCCCGTGAAGCTCTTACCCAGCTCTGGGAGCTTTGCCACCAGTGGCTGAGGCCAGAATGCCACACAAAGGAGCAGATTTTAGACCTGCTGGTGCTTGAACAGTTCCTGAGCATTCTCCCTAGGGACCTGCAAGCATGGGTGCAGGCACACCATCCAGAGACTGGAGAGGAGGCGGTGACTGTGCTGGAGGATCTGGAGAGAGAGCTTGATGAACCTCGAAAGCAGGTGGGAAGGGGGCGGTCATTTGTCTGTGAGAGAGCAGGGTTTAGACCAAGCCAAAGCAAAAAGCATATGAAAGAACACCTGAAGGTATTTAATATGTTACCCTAGAGAAGAACAAGGCTTAGGGACTGACTGCCAGTGTCAAATAACTGAAGTGTGACTGAGTAAAAAGAGACACTAGACTGATTCTATGTCAGTTTGGAAGGCTAGGATCAGTGAGAAGCTGTAGGAAGGCAAAAAGGTATCAGGAAAACAAACAATTTTCTAACATTCATGGTTACCTATACGTAACATAGGCTACCTTGTAATAAAAAACTCCCCTTCAAGGTTTGGTTCAAGTAGATAATAAGGATAATACAGAACAGCATGGTCTAATTGTGACCCATTCACATTTAATACATGTAATTAAATATACATTTAATATATGGTAATTAAATATAATGTGAGCCCTATATGTGATTTAAATTTTTAGTAGCCACATTTGTGAAATTAAATACATTTCATTTAACCAAAAATATGTAATCATGTAATCAATATTAAACATGAGGTATTTTACATTTTTTAATTTCAGTTTTCAATATTTGAATGTATTTTACACTTCACATATCTCAATTTGTATTAGCCACATTTCAAGTGCTCAGTAACCACATCTGGCTAGTGGCTATCATACTGGACCACATGGTTATAGAAGAAATGCCCCCATTTGGTGGAAATTGGGTTCGATGATCTTTAAGGTACCTTTCAAGTCCTCAGACTCTGATTCTGGACCTCTGCAGATCACTGTTAGAGGCACCGAATTTTCTTCTCCAGTGTCCTGAACTGTACAGATTAGACTGCGTCTCTTCGTTTTTAGTCATTATTGCCATTTGCAGTTGCATCAGAATTTGTCCTCTTTTCCATGGCCCTGGTCCCTGGCACATGCTTCTTTTGATCTTTCTCTGAAGTTCTTTCAGTTCTTTCACAAAATCTACCTTGCAAGCCCAATCATACTTCATTGTTCCCAGGTCCCAGCCAATTCAGAAAGACAGGACACACTTTTGGACAAGTTGGCCCCCTTGAGAAGGCCACATGAGTCACTGACTATCCAGCTCCATCCCAAGAAGACCCAGCAGGAGCAGGAATCTGGGGAGCCCCAAAGGACTGGTAAGGAGCAGGAGTCTGTGTTTATGAGGGAAGAGCTGGTTCCTTAGGTTAGAGAGGAGCTTTCTCACTTTCATCTCCCTTTTAAGTTTTCCTGCTTGTCCTTCACCTCACTGTGGAAGATCTTATCTCCCTTCCTACCCTTGCCCTATCATGGAAAGAACTGTATTTCAGTTTTTCATTAGTCTTAAAAGCTGCTATTTGGCCCAAGGGGTGGGGGAGGAGTTTACCACATGTAATCAATGCTACTAATAGAACACAAGATGAGGACTGATAAGAGTCCCTTGAGTTTGGCATTTAGAAGTTAATGAGTCTTACCAAGAGTATCGGGAGGCAGAAGCTGAAAGAGTCAGACTATTTTAATAAGCATTAGTAAGCTTAACTCTGTGGAATCCTCACCTCTTTTCTGTGAGAAGCCATATAAGTTTCTCTCCTCACCTTTCAGAGAAGACAGGACACGCTCTTATAAAATAGGTCGCAATAATAATTTAACGTGTCTAGTGTGCTAAATTGTATTGCAGAGAACACGGAGAATTATTATTATTATGACTAATGGCTTATCTATGCAAAACTTTAAATTCTAGATATCTTTCCTTCTGTTTTTTTTTAATACTTCTGAAACAGTTTCACTCTGCTTCCCATTAATGTAAGTCCAGAAAATTACACACTTCCTATACCTAAAATTATAGAGGTTTACACATGTGCTGCTACCAAAATAACCTTTCAAGGGAATACTATACAGTTAAAATGTGAATTGTATTTTCTTAATCTGATTAATCTACCAAAAGATACCTCATGAAATCTAGCTATCCTTGAGGCCTATGACTTCTTAGGGAAGTCTACTTTGTCTGCATTGAACAGTATTAATACGACTTTTTTCTAAGGTACAGCCCTGGCAATCTTACACAATTTTTATCTGTGTTCCCACTACCACTATACTCCCCGCCAAAAAACAGACAAACAAAAAACAAAACCACCAAAGCAAAACCAAAGGAAAAAAAGAAAAAAACCCTGCAGAAATCACAACAAATACATTTGAAGAAATGCCTCTCAACTTTATTAAAAGAATGTAATATCTGGTCCAAATCCTCATTTTACAATTAAACAGATATACCCACAGTGATTGTGACTTTTCCAAGTTTCCATAAGGAGTTAGAGGGAAAGCTGGGGCTCCTGCCTACTAGTAGAACAATTTTTTAAAACCATCATGATAATATACCAAAAAGCCAGTGTCTTTTAAAATAAATTTATTGTTAAATAGAGAGACTTTTTTATGCAATATCTCATTTTAAAATTTTCATTGTATCCATTTCAGCAAGATTATTAGTATTAGCCGTTGGCTAGGGTAATGGGACTCGTCTCTGTAAACATACCTGGAAATTATAATAGTGGTCACTTAATACAGAATTATCTTCACATATAAGAGAACTTGGAGAACCGAGTGTTTTGCAGTTCTTTGTAGCACATTGTCAGGTATTTCAAAGGGAATTTTTGGATGTTCTGTTAACCCACAACTCTGACTCTGTGGTAGCAGTAAGTGATTGTCTACTTAACTCTGTTCCAGTTTCACTTCAGTCAGCATTTAACCTTGTTCTTTCCCTCTAGACTGTCAAGCAAGTTGTACATATGGTAATCAAATGGTCTTTATGGACATAGCCTCATCTCAGTGACGAGCAGGACTGGGCTTACCTGGAATGTAACTGATAGGGACTCTTGGATATGCCAAAATAAAATTGAAAGAATGGCCCTGGCAGAAGATGCTAAAATGAAATACTCCTAATTTTGTCAGTTCTGAAACAAGATCTCCTAGAATCCTATTAGCCTGGGAATAGCTGGCACTTGGAAGAGATACATAAAGCCCTGAAACTCCAGTTGGCCAAGTAGACTGCAGGTCCCTGAGATGAGAAAAGTTCCCATTTGACAGTTTCCATACAATTTTCTTTATGTTGTTCAATTGCAGATGTAAGGGAGAGGGTTGTACTTTGAATTGCTGAACAAGGAAAACTGACCCTGTATTTAAAAAAAAAAAATCTTTTCAAGTCCTGGTGAGGGATTTTTCTCCAGACTTCTCCTGAAGTTGTAGGAGAGAGACTTATCCTAAGGACTGGTAGATTCCCCTGAAGGTGGTAAACTGACCACAAGTGCCAACTCTTTGTATCCTTTTTTAAAAGATATTCATCTTCATCAGTAAGCCACCGAAAACCAACCATCAGTGACTCCAGTATGTAAAAGAAGCTGTTGAGCCAATATGTTGATGTTTGAAAACACTTTTCTTAATGGTATGGGGGTGTCTCTGATTTCTATGATTTGCTTAATGATCATTAACCTACTAACTTAGCAGTACTTCTGCCACACGCTATACTTTTACACATGCTTTATCATACATTTCGTCATCTGATCAAACTATAGGAAAGGAGGAGGGCACAGAGGTGATAAGGAAACCAAAACGGTTATAATCTGCCAACATTTAAACAATTTTCAGCAAAGCCAGGACTGATATCTGGACTTTCTGGCTCTAATCCAGTCTTTGTAATTTCTAGCCTGAGATAATATGGTATTTAGATTCCAAAACAATATCATTTTAGAGCAAATAACCAAACTTTAAGAAATTTATTGCCTGATTAAAAAATATATATTGTAAGGAGGACGGTAAGATTTGAGGAAGATTTGGTAGGATGGGGACACTGTGATGACAATGAAGAATGGGGTTCATGGCGCTCAGTCCAGAGCCAGTGTTTTCCATACCCAGCCCAGGAACTGAAATGTTCTAGTAGCTCTTGCTGCTTCTTCCATCATACCGAGTGAACCACTGAAAACTATATGTGATTAAATGATTGTTCTACAGTTGGGATTCCTAGGCCTGTTGAGGTGGAGGTTTCATCATAACCAAATAGGTGACACCCAGCATTAAGACCAAATAGGTTTATTCCCTCCAAATCATCAAAACACCTATTTTCTTATAGAATTCAACTCAACAAATATTTATTGAGTACTTGCTATGTGCCAAGTTCTATGCTTAGCTTGGGGTTGAGGATATGGGGATCAGAAAGTGGGAGAGAGCACATCCGATTTAGGAGGTTAGGGAAGACTTCCTGGAGGAGACAGCATTTGAGATGGACCTTGAATAATAGCTAGGCCAGTGGCTCTCAAAGTGCAGTCCCTGGACCAGCAGTGTCTGTCATACCAAGAAGAGCAAATTTCAGGGTTCTACTCCAGCCTTATCAAATCAGAAGCTCTGGGGGGAGGTAGCACAGCAATGTTTTGATAAGCCATCCAGTTGATTCTGATGCACAATAAAGTTTGAGAACCACCAAGCTAGGGTTTAGACAGGAGGAGATGATAGTGAGGACATCAGTTTCAGAAAAAGGATTCCACCCAGCACATACACCAGACCATTCACTGTCACTTCCTGCTTAGCTTCCTCCATTTATCCTGACCTGCATGCTCTCTCTGCTTTTAGCTAACTATTATTTATACATACTTCTCTCCTTTAATGGTTCCAACTCATTATATTCCTCTCAGACCCCTGATCCCATTACCTTCTCCAGTCACTTTTACTTGGTTTTACTCCCACTTACTACCTAGGTTTCAGACCCCTCATGTTTCTCCCAAAATTTTACCTCCCTCCCCATCTGTTTTCTAATCTCCCTTTTTATCCCTCTTAGTTATCCTTGGCATGTGTGTAGTTCCTATTTACCACTCTGCATTTGCACAGGATTGCCAGGTAACCCCTCATCCACATTTTTGCCTTTTCCTCTCTTCATAATCTATTCACAAATAATGTATCCTGCTATCTTCCTTACTGGCCTCTTCTTTAATTTCTTCCCTATATTGTCAATATATGTTTTGATGGTGCCAAATATCTAATTTTTGCATTGCATGTGACTTTTCATTTTTATAACACATTTTTAACATTTACATGTTCTTTATTCCATAGGCTTTTTGCTTCTTAAACCTAGAATAGGACCTGTTTGTATACTGTTCATTTGTTACAGGTGATAAAACCAAGACTAAGAATGAAGAGTTGTCCCAGAAGGAAGATATACCCAAAGACATGGAATTCCTTGGGAAAATAAACAACAGACTTACCAAAGCTATTCCTCAGTATCCTGAATCCAAAGATGCTATTGAAAGTGAAGGCAGATTCAAGTGGCAACAGAGGGAAAGAAGACGCTATAAATGTGATGACTGTGGAAAAAGTTTCAGTCATAGCTCAGACCTTAGTAAACACAGGAGAACTCACACTGGAGAGAAGCCCTATAAATGTGACGAATGTGGAAAAGCCTTCATTCAACACTCACATCTCATTGGACATCATAGAGTACACACTGGAGTGAAACCCTATAAATGTAAAGAATGTGGGAAAGATTTCAGCGGGCACACAGGTCTCATTCAGCATCAGAGAATCCACACAGGTGAAAAACCCTATGAATGTGATGAGTGTGGGAGGCCTTTCCGTGTAAGTTCAGCCCTTATTAGACATCAAAGAATTCATACGGCAAATAAGCTCTACTAATATGGTGGAAGTAACGAAAGTTCTTTAGACACTCAGGCCTAATTAGTTATCAGAGAAATCTGCCTTGGAGACCTTGAGTATCCTGATGTAGGCAAATCTTCAATCATCATTAAAAATTTCTCTGGCACCAGAGAATTTACCTGAGTAAAATTTCCTTTTATTTCTAAAGTAGTTCAGTTTCTTGGAAGGAACTAAGAGTTATTTCAGAAAGCCTTGTCCACTGCCAGCATTGCTCACTTGCAGCCCAAAATAACCATGTTTCCTGGTCCTGGTTGAAAGATGTGAATTCTACCTCTTGACTCTGGCTCCTTTTTCCTTGGCCACTCAGTGTATGACTTTAGGCAAGACATTCATATTTTCTCTGCCTTCATTTTCCCATTCTGCCAAGTGCAGATGATATAATAGAAGCCCACCGGGTATGCTGTATTAAGTTAAAATAGATGAAAACTGCTTTTGAAATTAAGAACTAAAACCATACTATTTTTCCCCTTTATTAGTGATATAATGGCCTAAATATCCCTTATCTTAAAGTGGGGAATATAATAATTTTGTGGAATATTTTGCTTTGCCAGTGATAAAAAAAAGAGGAAACCACCAGAAAGATAGCAGGCTAAGAAAAACATTAAAATGGAGAGGAAAGCTATAAGTCATCAGTGGGAGCTGCTGGGAAGGGGCATGATGGAGTGTGTTAGGGATCTGTAACTTTGGATAAGTCACTTCTCTACTGAATCTCAGGTCATTTAAACTGAGGGAGATCGGGAGAGGTTGGTCTAGAACTGCACTGTCCAATATGGTAGCCAGTACCCACATGTGGCTATATACATTTAAACTTAACTGGAATAAAGTGGAAAATTCAGTTCCTTGGTGACATTAGCCACATTTCAAGTGCTCAGTAGCCACATGTGGCTGGTAGCTACAATAATGGACAGCACAGATCCAGACCATTTTTTATCACTGCAGAAACTTCTCAAGGACATTGCTGTTCAATCATTAGTAAGGTAACTTCCAGCTTTGGTATGTGATTCTGAGTTCAGGAAGGTAGCAAGAGAGATAGCTGAAGAGGCTGTAATAGCAATAGGAGATAAAATACAAACACCTTAAAACAAAGTAATTTAGTAAAAATAACTCTGTGGTACTTTTTCAGCCTTAGAAAGAGAGTGTATTGTAATTGGAGTAAGATGATTATTAAGTGAATACAATAACCTAATAATTAAAATTGAAAGCTTAACTTACTACCTCATCTCTATAAAAAGAGTGTAATTACCTTTACAAGGTAACATCCCCTGTCAGTTACCCTATACTAATGAGAAACTGGGACTCTCAGGACACTAATACTTTAAGACACAGTGAACAATTTAGTTTTTCTTTTTCTTTTTGGCTTCGGAATGTATTAGCATTTCATGAACGTATTTGTGACAGTTTTACATCACTAGTTTGAGAATTTTATAGCATGACAGGAATTGTGACCAAAGGCCAACACGTTCAAATTTACAACACCATCAAACTGCCACGAACCACTGATTCTAGGAATAGACATCACCAAAATGATCAGAAAGTGATCTAATCTCTTACTGAAGACACTAATTACACATACTTGCTTTGAGAGTAGGAAAAGCACCAGAATAATTTTGTGTCTACTACTATTGGAAGGTGACTCTTAAATCATTCTTCATAACACCATAAAGATAAACTGAGCTTTTATATCTTTTGAACATAATGCTCCTTTTAAAAAAATAAAAGTAAGTTTACTTTGAATGTATACATCAACCGATACAAATATTTTAAGACATCAAGTTTCCCACTCATACTTGTTTTTTCATTTATCTGAGCACTATTTCAAAACATTTGAAACAAAGGATTTTTTAATGATCATGAAAAGTAAAGTATTAAATCTTTAGTATTAGAAACATCCTTATCTAAAAAATAAAGTTAGATGCTTAATGAATGATAGCTTTTCCCCCTTTACCTTCAGTCTTGCTAAAAAACTGTCATGTGTAGAAGCTGTTCACAGTCTTTAAAGGGGAAACTCATGTTTCTGATCTTATCCTTGAATTTAGAGACTTCTGCAATGGTAAGAAAGATGATCTTGGCTACCACAACATTGTTTACTTAAGTGGGTAAAAACGATGACAGACTGATTTTCCTCTAACGTACTCTGTATGATTGAACATTCTATTCAGGTAGTAGTTTTGAATACCTGTTGTGTATAAAGAATTGTTCTAGTCTTAGAGTTGTACACCCTCAAAGTCTGAGTGAAGAGTAGTTTGGAGCACTGAGAGTATGCTACCCTTTTTAGTCTGGTGTTGATTCCAAATTGCCACCACAGTGTCCACCATCTGATCTTGACCAGAGGGGCAAGGATAAGAGTCAGGGAGGTACAGAAAGATTTGGGGCCAGAGACAGCCTGGAGTGATAGTGGCAAGAGAAGAAAGTCCAGTGGGACCTGGGATAACTGCTGGCATAAGGCAAAGGAGGCATGAGGTTGAAGGAGATCTAAGTAGTTGTTAGTATTATGAAGGATTAGGCAGTGTCCTAGTAAGTCTGTAGAAATGCACAAAAAAATTGGTGAGGATGCAAGCAGTTAGAAAGAAGAGCTCTGAGTTCAATCACAGCCACAGTTATTCGAAAAGAAGGTGTAATATGTTAGACGCCGTAATCAGAACCACTGAGTTCTAGCAGAGAGCCATCCTGGAATGATGGCACCTGCTCTAAAAGAACCCTAAACATGGAAGGCAATTTCTTAAATAGTTGTGTCAAAAACATATGCATCACTTGTCCCAAATTTTTTGGAGGGTTTTTCTTTTTTTTGGAGGGAGGCAACAACTTGTAGTTTGTAGTTTTCATGAACTAGTAGAACAGACAGTGATTTTAAGAGGCATCTAAAGGGAGTACAGGGGCAGTTCTTTCAGATACAGTTGGGGAATGGTGGTTAAACTGGTGATTTTGAATGAGGAGCCAACAGCTATAAAGGGAGGAAACATGAGAGTTGGGGTAGGAGAGGATGTCGGAGGTATGCACGGGCCTTGGTGAACAGGGGAGAAACAAGATAGAGGAGAAGGGGATGGAACAAAAAGAGAGTGATAAAAAAGGAGAAAGGGTATAGGGAAAGGAACAAAGATAAAATAAGAGATGGTCATAGAGAAAGAAAAGAGTGACAAGTAATTCTAATATTGACATCAATTATAATTGAGACAGTGGGTCATATGCCACAGCCATACGAAGGTGAACAGATCAGTTTATCCCAAGGTCGTTGAGTCTTACATGCACAGCACATATTATTTATGTTATCTTTATTGAATGGGTCTACAATCTCATTCTGAGCATGAAATTATTTCTTTATAGTCTAATCAAAAAGTCCATCAACAGTGAAACTGCTAGAAACTTTGAAATGCTTCAAAACAACCTGTTCTCCCCTTAGTAATATCACAAGGCAATTAGACTAAGGTTCTAAAAGAATAGATCTCTCAGTCTTTCTTACTCAAATCCTCTAGAGCACAGTTTCTCAACCTTGGTTTTACTGACATTTTCAGCCAAACAATTTCTTGCTGTGGGGGGCTGTCCTCTGCAGTGTGGGATGTTTAGCAGCATTCCTGGCCTCTACCCTCTAGATACCAGCAGCCCCAACTTGTGGCAAGCAAAAATTTCTTAAGAGATGCAAATGTTCCCTGAGGGACAAAATCTCTCCCCTGCCCTGCCAGCCCAGTTGAGAACCACTGCTCTATAGGAAAATAATCTGATTTCCATGACCGTTCAACATCATATACAGTAAGATTCAACTTAGAAATGTTATATATGGCCAGCACTGTTAGACCCTTTTACTACCCCACAAAATGATTTTCTACACCTTCTTCTCTCTATACCATACTTCTGCTGCTACCCTCTCCTTTGCCCCTTGACCCAACCACAAATAGACACTTTATCCTTGATCTGCACTGTCCAATACATTAGCCACTAGGTACATGTGGCTATCGAGCACTTGAAATGTGGCTACGCAACTGAGGAACTAAATTTTTTTCACTTTAATTTAAATTTAAAAACATACTCAATTCAGTTATTGGAAAACCTTTAAGTATGTTTGGAGTATTTCGGGTATAGGAATCTATTTTTTCCATTCAAAATTTTATGTAATCTCAATACAGATCAAGTACTTCCAATGAAAATTTAATAACTGAATTGAGATGTGTAGTAAGTATAAACACACTGGATTACAAAGACTTAGTATGAAAAAGGAATGTAAAATATTTCATTAATAAATTATATTGATTTTAAAATAATATTTTGGATATACTGGTTTAAATAAAATACATTAAGAATTAATTTCACCTATCTTTTTACATTTTTAATGTGGCTACTAGAAAACTTACATCCACGTAGGTGGATCACATTACATTCCTATTAATTGGACAACACTGATCAAGATCTCACTCTCAGGGTAGGTCCCATTCACTATGTTCCAAACCACCTCAATTCTGTGAGGCTAAGTTCTGTGCTGCCAAGGACTTTTTACCTTTTTCTTCTTATTCATTAATCCAACAGGTATTTACTGAGTGCATGCTATGTGCCACGCCTCTATTTTAGGTATTGGGGATAGAGCAGGATATAACAAGATATTTCCATGTAAGACTGTGAGAAAAATAGTGAATGTTAAAATTAAAGGTATAATGCTGTCCTTTCAGATGGAAGACTATTAGGAAAAAAAAGGCAGGGCATTTCAGGTTAGGTGTGGGGAGGAAGGAAAGAAAAGGGGGAAAAATAGATTGTTACTTCGGGATTACAATTTCATTTCAATTTAATAAGATTTTAAGTTTGGTTTGTTTGGCAAGTCCAATAGCACAGCAATAGGGACTAAAGGTCTTTGGATATGCCATTGCATGAGAGGACTTATTAATGGTTAGACCTGCTTTATGCATTATTTTTAATACACACTTCATAGTATTTACTGCAGAAGTCTCTTTGGGGAAATTAGCAATGGAACAATTTCTATATGTAAGAACCATAAGTTCCCATGTATGTTGAATTAACCTATTATATATCACCGTAATACTGGGTACAAGGAAGGAAATTTCATTAATCCAGTTATTGTGCCTTTTTGTTTTTCTCTACTCCACTCAGTAGATAGTCTTGGAAAACTCTCCTATAGCCTTAACTTTATCTCAAAGACATGAAGTGATTACGTGCTTTTGATGTTTTTTGTTTAAAAATAACTTACCTATGAAGAACAATCAACAGTTAGATAATTATAAACAAATTCTATTTTACTATCTATATAAAAATACAAACATGAATATGAGGACATCTAAAAATGCAGAAATAGTTATATATTCCATGTATCAATGTATAAAAACATAGCTGGAAGGAAATCCTTTTTCAGAATCAGGAAATAGTGCCTTATCTGCTAGGTTAAAATCCTAAACCCTCCAGCAAATGTATAATTCCATATTTTGAACAATTTTAGTATTTCATTGTCACATAAAATATGTAAATAGCTATGCACATTATTGTGGTGATTTGCATGTACAATAGGAGTCAGCTGGGAAAGAAAATACCATTCTTATTTGTAAAGCAATGACAACACAATAAATCTGGAATCTTTGAAATAATTTAAAGTTAAAACATTTCTTCACCTACTGCATATATAAGTTACGTTAATGTCTAACTCTTGCACAAGTTGAGTTTTTTGCATCAACACTTAATGCTACTTTCTAGGCACTCTCTTACTCAAGGGTTGACCTTAAATTCATTTTTCCCCTTGGATCAGTATTCTTGACACCTATGGAAAAGAACATCCTGGCTCCTCCAGAAAGTAGATAAAGCTAAGTCAGAAATAAAGAAGAAATAAACATGACACTCCAATTGGAAAAGTATAAAACCATCACAGTCAGACAGTTTGGCTTCAAATGAAGAGTAAGTAAATCAATACCTCCTAGAAAAATCTATGCCATTTCTTACATAAAACCCAAACTACTACCAGGACTTTGAGTTAGTTCAGTGTAGACATTCTACCAGACATAATCCATTTGATAAAGCTTCTAGCTTTTTATCTTCAGACTGGTTTGCTATATTAATTCAAGAGTCTCAGGAATATGAGAAACAATGACAATAATTCAAAATTTTTCATTATCTGTTCTTGAATGTGTCTTCATTTGTCACAACTGTTGGGCTATAAAAAAGGAGCTGCTTCTGTCTTTTCATAAAAAAAAAGAAATCCCTGCTTTTATAAGCCTGTATTACAGTGAAGGAATACAAGACAAATATCAAATAGGAGTAGTGGTATATGGAATATAAATAATGAAATGAAACAGAGTGGCTGAATGACTACTACAAGTAGTCAGAAAAGGCTTTTCTGAAGAGCTGACATTCTAACTGAAATATAAATGTCCAGCCTTGGGAAGTTCTGAAGAAGACCCTGTCAGGCAAAGGGAATTGCTTATGCAGTCTCTACAGTAGGAATGAATCTGATGTGTTTACAGGAAATGAAAGAAGGTCATTGGGTCTAAAGCACTGGATTAAGGGGAATGTGGTATAAAATTAGGCTAGAGAGGCGAGCAGGGGCCAGGATATGTATTCTAAGCATGGTGGGACACCATTGGAAGGGAAGGACATGATCTGATTTTTGTTTTTAAAATATTCTGGTCCCTTAAGGAAGCAAGAGTGAGAAAAAAGCAGAAGCAAGGAGACCCGTCAAGAGGCTACTGCAGTAAGGCAGATGAGAGAAGGTGGTGGCACCAACCACAGGTCCAAAGTGGACATGAAGAGAAATA